TCAAATACTGTGGCATGCTTCATTGTGCTGGTGAAAAATATCGACCATGAACATCGTAATGAGTTGAGTAGGATCTGAACCATGTCAGACAATTGAAATTCTAACAGAGTGCATGTTTTTACAGAGGCTGCAGAGCTTTGTTTCTAGATATCTTCCTTTTTATTGAATCAACAACTGTATACAACATACATACTTAGTCTTGTTTTTCCATATAAATCACTCAATGACTAGGCTTAATTAAAAAAGAAATACAAACTATGTTTCTAGAAAACGCCATGACTGATCATTTCTTACTTTGTTATTTGGAATTTGTATGCTAATCTCTAGGTGCATAAATATACATGTGCCTGGATTATAACATGTGATTAGATTAACACATTTTTTTCTCTCATAATAAGTGAAAACAGCATAGCCCAGGAAGAAAATTATCCACTAACACTATTGGCTGATGAAATCATCTAGAGTCTGATCTGAGCCATCTTCCCAATGACTCAGGCAAGGTGTCATTGTTTTGCTTGAATTTTTGCTTTAGTTCTCTGATACAGTCCCCTCTCAGGGGTCACCTCTCGTCATCCTGTTAGCTAAGACAATGAGAACAATGAAGAATTTCACTTCTTCAATCTATTTGTCCAGATGAGGTCTGCAATACACGTGATATTGCAGAGTTTTTTAAAGGGTGAAATTTGGGAGTTGAGAAGTTCCTATTTGTTAGCATTTTAATGAACTTGGAATAGTTTTCTTTTGGAAAGACACCAAGTTTCTGTTACTAAGGGCTGAATGTTTATGTGTCTCCCCCACCCAACAAAGTCATATGTTGAAGCTCTACCCTCCAATGTGACTGTGTTTGGAGAGGGGACCTCTAAGGAAGTAATTTAGTTAAATGAGATCATAGTGGGGGGTGGGGGGGCTAGGGGGTGGGGTCCTGATCTGATAGGTTTAGATAAAATCAGTGTCTTTATAAGAAGAGACACTAGAACTCTCTCTCTTTCCCTCTGTGTGTGTGTGTGTGTGTGTAAATGCAGAACGAAGAGGTCATGTGAGCACACAGCAAGATGGCAACCACCTATAGGCCAAGAGAAAAGGCCAAGAAGAAAACCTACCTTGCTGGCACTTTGATTTTGGATTTCACAGCCTCCAGAGCTGTGAAAAATAAATTTCTGTTGTTTAAGCTTCTCAGTCTATGATATTCTGTTATGGTGCCCCAGGCAGACTAATATACCTGTAAACTTGCATGAAATGTAAGAAAATATGAAATTTAGGGACAAGAGTGGCTATGGCACATTTTCAGTGTGGCAATTAAGATCTCAGAAACTAGAGTCATTCAGAACACCTTACACATTTTCCTTGTTTTGTCACCTCACCACACTTTAGTTTCTTCATTTGCATAATTGGAACAGTAATGGATTCTACTTAATGAGATTGATCATATGCATAATAGAGTCAGGGCAGGCTTTAAGTGCTCAGTTAATATTAGCTATTATTACTATTATTATGGCATGAAAATAGACAAAACATTGTGTCAATTTCATGTACTGAAAATGAACAAATGTGTTTATTATCTTTTACAAACTAAAATCACAAAGGCTATACTCATAAAAGATGTGGTACAGTTCTGATTTAATAGTACAAAAATGAAACCTAATTTTTCTTTTTGTTTTGGGATTGTATTGGTGGTAGAAATCCTTTATTTTTCTGAAAATTTTAAATAGCATACTAAAATAATTTTTTTTTTCAGTATAGGTCCTATAGTGTGTTAAAAACTTAACGTATTCCTTATTCTGAAGAATAATTAACCTGTTTTGATAGCAGGATATTCACAAACTCATTGAATAACTTCTCGGAAGTGACACTGAAGTCACACAGTAGGTTTGTGAACCTCGAGTCATGTGGAGAACACCTGTATTCTAGTCAAAGGTATTGGAACATTGATGTTGCGTTAAAGAAAAATGGGCAGAACTGGGGAGGAAGGGTCACTCCAGCCAGTCTAGCCCCACTGGAAAGATAAATCTGCAGAGGTTCAGAATGTGGTACATAAACTATATGGCGACCAATCTAGACTTTTGAAGGAATGCAGCTAACAAACCTTCTGGGAATCTGTATTCCTGGAAATTCAGTTTCTTACTTCACAACTTGGCAAAATCCTATTTATTGTTAATAGAATTACGTGCAAAAGCCAGTAAAAGAGAAAAAAAAAAAAAAACCCAGAAAGCCCATCTTTTCCAGACTTGTGGAAGATTTGTGGTTGATGGTTAATCTAACACCACAAGAAACAGTTTTTGATATGGGTCAGGGGCAGGAGTCCCGCCTTGGAGTTGTGGAGTGTTTCCACACAATTTTGTTAGAGAATGCCCTTTCCGGAGAAACAAATTCATTAAGGAAAGACCAGACAAATAAAATGCTATCCTCGAGAACAGGCAATACTGCAGTAAATGGCGTTCCTTAAGTGAGGGTCGGCACAGCATGAAGACTAATGAATTACTTCATCTCTTTCACTCTGGAGACGTGTATTTTGATTAGTGTCTGGGGCTGTTTGCAAAGGGACTCACAGTTTATGGCTTCATCCCTTTCTGAGCTTTGTAAGAGGTAAGACACATTGGTCAGTATTTCTCACAAACCAAGTCTATCTCCTCCAATTATCTCAACTACAGTTGACACCAAGCAATTTAGAGGAGAAACTAATTTAACCCTCAAGCATTCTAAGGTGCTTTTTAAATGGCTTAATGTAGATCTCGGTATCACAATGATGGACAAAGTATTACCAGTGTCACCATGGGAACCAGAAGTGTTTTACATAGTCCTAAAAGGATCTGACACATTTTTCAAAGGACAGACCCCACTGTTACCACCTGCTGCTAAGAGGTTTCAGTTCTTTGGTGTCTCTTATCTCTAGCAGTCCTTGATCTTCATATCTTAAGGTTTGTTTCACTGGTGAGAGAAAGAAAAGCCCTTTTCTATTCAATAGTTTCATTGTTTCTCCCAGCCTTACAAATGACAGTTGAGGTGACTGCCTCTCCCATTTGGTTTCTGGTATGGCTCTAGTTCATGACCCCTTTAATTCTAGCGGGCTAGCTAGAATGCTGCCAGGGAGCCCGGGGCACTTCGCATAGATCTGGCACTGCAGGGCAGATTCGCACTGGAAGCCAGAGTCCCATTGTCAACACAGACGCTCCCTTTATGCCGAACTCTGGGCGGCTGGGACTTGTACAACCGCGGGTACCTTTCCCCCAACCTTGAGAGCAGCATCTTGAGGGCAGAAAGCAAAGGGCCTCTACTTCCTGGAGGCCGTGATGTAGGATTCCAAAATGTATGTTTCTTCTCCCCTATACGTCCCACCACCAAATGTGCAGGGTCAGCTGTGCTCTCCCGTGAATTCAAAGAATCTTGTTACAAAAAGCAAATATTTTTCTTAGGGTGAGTAAATAAACATAACAAATCTGAGCAAATACCAGTTCATAATTCCTTTGGCGCTAAATTCCATGTGCTCTAAAGCTCTTTCTTGAGTTCCGGTAGAGAGGTTTACATTTTTGTCTGGGCAATTTTTTTTTTTTTTTTGTATGTGAATTAAGGCAATAAAATTAACTAGACTGAGGTTGGATGAGGCTCACTAATTAGCCTACAGCCATTCTACAGCCTGATTTAGGCTGTTTTGACTAACACTGCTAATCTGCCTCATTTGGTGACCGGTGTGGGCAAACATCCCCCTGATGGGAACAGTGACTCTGAAGTCAGAATTATTCAGACTCTGTTGTCCAGTGACACCAGCCTCTCTCTTTTGTGTTGCCCAATCTTTGTTTTGAAAACTTCCAACCCTGAAGAAGTGTTGAAAGAATAGCACAGTGAACACTCACATACCCTTCATTTAAATTCACAAATGGTTAAACTTTCTAACATTTGTGTGCTCTTTACTTGTTATCATCTATCTATCTATCTATCTATCTATCTATCTATCTATCTATCTATCTAATCTATATCTATCATCTATCTATCCATCTAAATATATATCTTTTCCAATTTCCTTTTTTTCTTGGAGCCATTTGAAAATAAAGTACAACCTCATGTTACTCCTCCTCTAAATATCTCAGGATTTATCACCTAAGGATAAAGACATTTTCCCACATTATCACAATGCCATGTTCACTTCCAAGAATTTAAAAAGTGGTGTAATATACAATAACATCTAATATAGAGTACAGATTAAAAATTTTTAATTGTCTTTTAAATGTCCTTTATAGCTTTTTAAAAAATCCAATCAAGGTTCATGTATTACATTTAGTTGTGATATATTTTCAGCCTTCCTTCATTTGGAACCACTTAAAAAAAAAGATTTTATTTATTTATTTAGAGAGAGAACAGGGGGAGGAGGTGCAGAGGGAGAGGGAGAGAGAGAATCTCAAGCAGACCCCCCGCTGAACGCGGAGCCTGATGCAGGGCTTGATCCCAGGATCTTGAGATCATGACCTGAGCCTAAATCAAGAGTCGGATGCTCAACTAACTGAGCCACCCAGGTGCCCCTGGGGCTACTTTTTGTCTTTTATGACAGAAACATGTTGAAGAGTATAGTCCAGTTGTCTTTGACTAGCTTACAGTTCCGATTTTACTGATTATTTCCTCATGATTAGATTCTAGAAATTTTGACAATATGACATAGGTGGCATTGTATACTTGCCATTTCATCATCTCTGGAGGCACATGATACAAAACTTAATCACTTGGTTAAAGTAGTTTATGAAAGTTCTCTCTTTCACAAAGGTACCATTTCTCCTTTATAAATTAACTAACCTATGAGGTAATTCTTTGTCATCATATAAATAATATGAATATTCTGTTTTCCAGCAAACTTTCACCGAATGATTTTAGCATCAGTGGCTCCTTCCAGAATGGGCCCCCAGATAATGATAAGGATGGAAATATATATATATATTTAATGAAAAACTCATTTTTCTACTTACATGAGGGGATGAATAAATGAAGACTGAAAAGAAGAGAATACACTCCCTTACCTGCTTGCACTTATGACTTCTCCAGAATCACCTTCCATCCATTTCTCACTAGGCACCAAGTCTGTAAAAATTACATAGATTAACCAGATAAAGGGGCAATTTCATTAATATAAATTTATTTTATAATTTCAAATTTATAGCATTTATTTTTTATTAATCTTATTTGTGAGATCCATGAGACTGTTTTAATGAACATAATAACTTGATATTGGGGTCTCTGGATGCTATTTTCGGTCATGTCGGTTTCAACACCCAACTTACAGTTGAATTTTGTTTGGTTATCCAGTAAGAAAAAGATACTAATTTTGTAAAAGATAGCAGTTTATTGCGAAGTCTCAAGATGTTATTAATTAACCACTTTGGAAGCCTGAAAGGGATGTAAATGACAATTTTTATTTTGAGTTGCATGGAATAACAATATTTAAAAAATAGTTTGCATTCCTTATCAATAAATATGTTAGATTAGAAGTAATCTAAACCTAAAATGATGGTTAGAGCTAATTACAATTTAATGTTTTCAATATGTTATGAATTTGCTTGTTGTGGGAAAAGTAAGCAGATATACCTAAGTCTTGCTTGGCATGTAATTTAATGTAAACCACATGTGTTGCCATAAAAATATATAGTTTTTTTTTAAGATTTTATTTATTTATTTGAAAGAGTGAGAGAGAGAGAGACCACAAGCCAGGAGGAGAGGCAGAGGAAGAGGGAGAGGCAGACTCCTTGCTGAACAGGGAGCCCGACATGGGGCTCGAACCCAGAACCCTAAGATCATGACCTGAGCCGAATGCAGACACTTAACCTGCTGACCACCCAGGTGTCCCGAAAATATATAGTTTTTGTTTGAATGGACTGCTACAGGCCTGATTTTGAACAAGATTAGTATAGAAATAAACATTCTTGTTCAGTACCATATTCAAATGTATATGAAGAGAATACAGGTGAGTTTCACGTAAAAGTACTGGACCACATAGCACTGATGAAGGGGTTAAAGCTTTCTAAAGTGTTAAAGCCAGAGACCTCTATTCTTTCCCTAGCCTCTTCTCTTTCTATTGTCTTCTTGATTCAGCCCACCAGGCATAGTCCATCCTGTCTTAGGGCCTTTGCATCTGCTATTCCTCTGGCTCTCTCCCCACTTCCTTCACGTCTTTATTAAACCACGTCTTTTCAGACAGATGTACTCTAATCTTCTGATAGATTTTGTAGCCTCTGCTTAATTTTCCTGTTACTCCTATAAAATTTTCATTTTATATATTTTTCTTTCTTTCTTTCTTTCTTTTTTCTTTCTTTCTCTCTCTCTTTCTTTTCTTTCTTTCTTTCTTTCTTTCTTTCTTTCTTTCTTTCTTTCTTTCTTTCTTTCCTTTCTTTCTTTCTTTCTTTCTTTCTTTCTTTCTTTCTTTCTTTCTTTCTTTCTTTCTTTCTTTCTTCCTTCCTTCCTTCCTTCCTTCCTTCCTTCCTTCCTTCCTTCCTTCCTTCCTTCCTTCTTTTCTTCCTTCCTTCCTTTCTTTTTCTTTTTTCCTTCCTTCCTACTACTACTGGAATATAAATTTAATGGAGGGCAGGGATTTTTGTCTGTTTCTGTATATTCCTGAATTCTGAGACCTGAGGACTGTTCAACATATAATATGCATTCTGTGAATATTTGTTAAATAAGTAAATACTATACTTTAAAATAAAGATATACATGTTTTATATATATATTAAAAAGGGAAATTCATATCAAATGTTTGTAAACTCTCTGAAAGGCTATGTAGAACTCTAGGGTTTTACAAGCCCAGTTTGAAACCAATTGCTCAAGACTTCCCCTTATTTCTAGAAATGGAGGGTTGTGTAGGAAGCCCTTATTTCTTCCCCTTATTTCTAGAAATGGAGGGTTATGTAGGAAGCCCAGGAGTGAGGGGGGAAAAAACAAACTTCGGGCATCCTTCCAAACTGTTTCTTTCAACAAAAGGTATCACAAAATATATCACCGCTACATATTAGTGTTCTCACCTAACTGCTTGATTCCATTCTAAATGTAAATAAAAATTTGAAAACCACCTTATTTCTCCCTCTACTACAACTTAAAGCTGCATCATTAAGAAATTAATAGAATAGTTCCCTTCCTAAGCTTTATATAGATTATTAGAACTGAAATGGCTTTTAGGCATCATCAAATACAAATACCTCATTTCCAGGTGAGCCAACAGGCCTCAAGAATCATCTAGTTGATGAGCAGAAACTAAGCAAGTTTAAAACCAGCTCTTCTGCAGCACAGTTGAGTTCTCTCTTCAATATGTACATGAAATGACATGCTCTGTTTTTATACAATATGGAGCCATTTACAAATAGAACAATAGCTCAATAACGCATCCTTTCATAAAAAGGGGTGGCTTAGAGAAAGGATCGCACTAAAAGGACACGCTCAGGAGTCCTCCTGTACCAAAAGGCCAGTCTTCTAGCCAGTCTGTTCAGATGAGGAGTCCAAGAACCCACTCAAACACTATTTTCATTACCATTGCATTCAGGTTCACATAAGAACTTGGCATTCTTTATTTATTTATTTATTTATTTTTTTAAGATTTTTATTTATTTATTGAGAGAGAGAGAAAGAGAGAGAGCATGAGTAGGGAAGAGGGTCAGAAAGAGAAGCAGACTCCCTGCTGAGTAGGGAGCCCGATGTGGGACTCGATCCCAGGTCTCCAAGATCATGACCTGAGCCAAAGGCAGTCGCTTAACCAACTGAGCCACCCAGGCGCCCCCTAACTTGGCATTCTTTAAAAGAAAATTTTTGCCAAGGAAGAGAGAGAAGTACACAAAACTTGTAATAAGAATTGGACTTAAAAAGGAGAATATCATGCAATTTTCTTTTTGTTGCACCAACGAAAGCTATACTGACAAGATTGAATTAACACCATGCCAGCTGATAAGTTCTCCAATATCGTCCAATAAAATCTTTGTGCCATGGAAGAGAGCTTCAAAGCAGGTAAAAATGTGGGGGAGAGCTGAATATAATTATGTTTAAGTGCATTTTTGAAGATGAAATACTGTCTGGCTTCCAGAGTCTCATTAGTTTCATTTTTCAAAATATGTAGGAAAAGAAATATGACTGTGGTTTTTCATCAGTGGAAAATCACTATGAAATTGTATTGGGAAGAAAATCATTTTTTTTTTAAACAAACATTCAGATCCAGATAATTATTCAATGTTATAAAACCCATACTTAAATATCCAAATAATTTGTAGAAAACCTAAAATAAAAAACTTCAAATGAAGTATAAGTTTGTGAAGATGTGTCTTCTTCATACATTATTTTGCCACAAGCCTCTCTTGGGTGTGAAGGAAAGCCTCAGACTATGAGGGCAGTGGAAGGATGCAATTATATCCAGTTTTGTGGAGTACATACCTGCACTTGGTCTTTTTCTGTGTCATTAGCCAAGATCCTGTGAAGTAAAAATAAAAATGCATCTTTGCTCATGTACACTTAAGTAATTTTAATGTTTTCAAGTTCATTCATTTAAAATACTATTTTTATTTTACCCTTCTTTTTTCCCAATTCTTTTCCTAGGAATTAAAAATGACACACTAGAATATACTAGGGATATGAGGAATGTAACAATATGGAAGAATATGGAGTAAACCAAATACATACTTCTGGATCCTGCTTTCTGTCCAGCCCCACCCCTGTCTTCAAACCTCTTCGTTTTCACTTCATGCTCAGAAGCAAATCTCTGTAATGGTTTTGTTTTTTCTTCCAGTGGTTGAATTTTGAAATGGAAGGGAGAATGGAGAAATATAAAAACAGACTATCAGAAGTCTAGATTCACATAGATGCTTAGTATTCCCACTAGAACTATTGCCCTGTCATTGCAAGTACAAAATCATAAAACGATTTTGGAAAGTCATATAGTATAATTTATTGAAGTTGACTTAGTCATATCTTATAAAACTTTTGGGATTAGAAATGAGACAAGAATTCTTGCACTCACCACTTCCATTCAACTTTATACTATAGTTCTAGCCAGAGCAATAAGGTTTAAAAAAGGAAGTATGATTGAAAAATAATAAATAAAATTGTCATTATTAGTGGATGATACATTTCTTTATGTAGAAAATCCCAAGAGTCTACAGATATGGTCATATAAAAACAATCAGTTTTATTTCTAACCAACAAAGACTATAATATTTAACAAAATAAAAAACAATTTAAATGCCCTTTATAAATAGCATCAAAAGTATCAAGTACTTAGGCAAATCCTCAAAAAAGAAAACGAGAAAACATTATTGGACAATCATAGACTTAAATAAATGAAGGGATGTTCACTGATGAAAAGAGTCAACATTTTAAAGACATCAACTCCCCTAAATGGATCTATAGACTCATTTCATTTCCACTCAAAAATCTCAGCATTTTTTTTTTTTGGTGGAAATTAAAATGCTGATTCTAGAATTTATATAGTGAATCAGAGGGCCCAAAAGATCTGATTTTTTTTTTTTTTTGCTTGAGGGAAATTTAATGAAAGCAAGAAAAAAATGTGGTGCAAGAACAATGCAGAAGGGTTCTGTTCCAGGCAGTTCTGCCTTGTACAAGTAGAGTGAAGTCATCAGGTCAGAGTTTTAACTGGCATTATTTCAGGCATTATTCCAACCCCTTAGTTTTACAGTAATAAATCTGAAGCCTAGAGGTTAAATGACTTGGTGTTCAAGGTCATACCACTGAAGCAAAGCTGCAGCTAGAACGCTGTTGTCCAAAGTCCCAGGCCAAATCTCCCTCTACTACATTACACTAACATTGCGAGGTTTAAAAAAGAAAGGGGGAATAAGAAGGGTGATTTTTCCATAAATTAAATCAACTTTAAAAGCCAGGCATATGTGGAGAATTGGAGGCCACTAACATTGTTAGAAAGAAGTTTAAAAGCTGGTTAAATCTGAGTAATAAAAAATACCGATATGTACAATACTGTAAAAAAGATGGCATTCATGATTACTGGGCTGGCAGGGCAGGGGCTAGTTGCATGCTGGGGGTGGGCTGCATGGGCTGCCAGCTTTCCTGGGTTTGGAGGATGTGGTACAGCTGCTTCAGTTGAGCAACGATGTTATCTTTGATGTCTGGAGTTGAGATCTGCAGGCAGACACTGCCACTGTCAAAGGACTGTGTAAAATCACCAGAAAACATCTCGTAGATCATCCGAGCTACCACTGGAATGACCTGAACCATGATGAGTTTCCTTTCCAGGGGTTTCCCATTTGGCCATTCTTCCCCAAAGCATAAGTAGATCTCAAATGGTGGCTGCTTCTCTATCTGTCCTTTCTGGTGGGCAATGAGATCACTAAGGAACGTTTCCAGGCAAAACAGTTTGACCTTCTTTTGTCTCTCAATCAGGTTGGGGGCAACAAGTGATGGGGCACATGGCCCAGACCAGTACATGCCAGCGGTCATGGCATAAATGGCATGACCGCTGACCCCCAGGATCAGTCCTCTGTCCAGGACGTCTAGCAGCTTACTGGGGAACAGCTTCTGCTTCTCATTGGTGATATGCTCTGGACCTGGGAACTTGACCTGTTCCACACTGACAGGACCAAAGAGCTCCTCTTGGTCAGGCATGGGACCCAGGTCCCCATAGAAGAGCTGGCAGCCCAGGGGGTTGCTCACGGTCATGGTCTGCCCCTATTCCTTCCCACGGTACTGAAACTTGATGTCCAGGTCAGTCATGGGAAAGAGCTGATCCACAGCTCTGGAGAGCTCTAGAAGGGCTGTATAGGTGCCTGGGGTACATCTATTTCCAGAGCTTCAGTTTTGGGCCACACTGCTTCAGGGCTGCAGTTGCCCACACTGGCTGCTGCCCTGGGAGAACCACTGATGTTCAGGAAGGAGAAGGTGTCCTGGATGGGAACATGGTGCTGTGACTGATCAAGCTCATCTTCCTCATCTTCTTCATCTACATCATTATCCTTCTCATCCCAAGGAGCAGATCCAGTAGATCCTGGGTTAATGATTGATCCCTGAGGCTGCGGGATGTCACACACTTGATATATCTTCACTGGGTTCATGGGTACTTCCTTGGTGCCATCGTACATCAGGTTGAATTCCCTGCTCTTGTTGAGAGCACCGCAGAGCTGGGCCTTCCATTTAGCTGGGTCAGGGTCATCTACCCCTTCCTGGTACTTCCCTGTCTCCACAGCCCAGACCTTGAAAATGGTATTTTCCTCCTCTTGTTGGGGGCTATGCAGGGTAGCATGTTTCCAGGGAATCTGAAAGCGTTTGGAGTCCCTGTGTATCCAGATGAGCCCGGGGTACAGGCCACTATCCACCTGGGCCACCAGCCAGGTCTTCAGCCGAACTCTACGGGGGTGGAGGGCCATGATAGAGATGAGCAGGCAGTGTATCCACGGGGATCCAAAGAGCTGGGCCTCAAGTCAGCTCTCCTTGCTCTGGGCCAGCCAAAGACTCTTTTCTCAATCCAGCGACCAGAAGCGGATGTCCCTCCGAACCACGTCCCCAGTTAAGATCACCCATTGAAAATAATGCAATATATGTTAAGAAAAAAAAAAAAAAAGAAGAAGAAGAAGAAGGTAGCGGGAGGGGAAGAATGAAGCGGGGGAAATCGGAGGGGTAGACGAACCATGAGAGACGATGGACTGTGAAAAACAAACAGGGTTCTGGAGGGGAGGGGGGTGGGAGGATGGGTTAGCCTGGTGGTGGGTATTGAGGAGGGCACATTCTGCATGGAGCACTGGGTGTTATGCACAAACAATGAATCATGGAACACTTCATCTAAAACTAATGATGTAATGTATGGGGATTAACATAAGAATAAAAAAAAAAAGATCACCCGTTGATCTTAAGTTGAGAGATACAAACTATTGAAAATCAAGGCTTAATATGAAGTTAGGACAATTAAAACATTGACATTGTACAAAGTAAAAATGAAAACTCAATTTAAATAAGTTGAAAACCCAGACAGACAAAGACTCACATATGGATGGTATGTGACAGAGCCAGCACTGCAAAGCAGTGGGGAAAGAACAGTTCTTTCAATGAATGGTGCTGGGTATATTCAATATCTGTCACAGTGGGGTGGGGGCAGGAACTTGACAAGCTCGCCTCCTCTCAGCCTACACAGCACACAAAGCAATTCCAGGTGAATTGTAATTATACATGTAGAAGGCTAAGAAAGATGGCATTTGCTAGATAACATATAGGAGTATCTTTTTGACCTTAGGATGATGAAAGATTTCTTAAACACAGTTGCAAAAATCACTACCCATAAAGGGTAAGATTGATAAATTAAAATATATTGAAACTAGAATCATCTATCAAAACATCCTTTTAATAGACTGAACAGGTAAGCCATTGTCTAGGTTTTAAAAAATCAAGATCTGCGAATGTTTTTTTTTCCATAAACATCTCTTCTGTTTATATTTTTAGATAGGATCACCCCTTACATTTATTTGCAAATGTTAATTATGTTAATTTTTAAATGATTTCTATTTTTTCATGGATTTTCATTTTTCTGTTTGCAGAGTTTCTTCCTTTCACTGTGTTTGGGTTTTGCAAATGTTATGATTATTGCTTGTTCATTTCACACTGGCATTTAAACTTCCTGATTTCCCATTTGTGAATGAAGTTTCTCATTAGAGCAACTTCCCTCCCGTTATTGTGAAAGAGGGTTAATTTGTGCCCCTGGGGTGGGAAGTGAAGGCCTTGTGTCTTTTCAGTTTGTGAGTTCATTCTGCTCTTGGTAAATACCTCTGCAACCCCATTTCCTGCATTCAATGCTTTAGTCCAGAAGTGTCTGTTACTCTTACTTCTCAACTATTATTCAGCATAAGCCAAAATGGAAGGAGGTGCTGACCTACCATGTTGCTACATGTGTCTTCCCCAGTTCGCCTCGTGATCACCACCGAGCCCTATCGATTCTTTGGATCCACTTATTCTTCATTTGGAGCATGCTTAAAATTTCATAGACTTCTTCTCCTTTCCGTGTTTCAGCCTATGCTTTTTCCAATCTTCATGGCTGGTCTCAGGGCATGTGACCTGTGCAGTCCCACAGGGCCTGGCACTCAGAAGGGCCCTGCGCTTGGTTTAATGTTACCATCTTGAAATTCTTAATGATTTTTAAACAATAGTGCTGGATTTTCATTTTGCACTGGGACTCCCCAAACATGTAGCTGGGCCTGTCTAATCTGGCTTTCACTGCAACCTTGATTTCTTAATTGCTTTTAGGATTCCTCAAACATTTTCTTCTGCTATAGTAATTTTTTCCTGTATCCATTGCAATTATATTTTTTATTTTGTAAGCTTCATGGAGGTATAAAATTCACTTATTTTAAGTGTACAGTACAACAATTATTACTCATTTACAGTTATGCCAGCAACCATCACAACAATCAAGTTCCAAAACATTTTCAGCACTCCGAACAGATTCCATGTGCCCATTTCTAGTT